TTTACTTTATTGAAATCTTGGGCCTGGGTCCCGAGGCGAGCGCGAGAAGGCGCCTGACAGGTACTCGCGCCGAGGCTGGAGGCCTGAGCGGGGGGCGCACCCCAGAGGAGGGTGGGTCAGGGGCGGCTGAGCAGCTCCCGGCGGCCAAAACCTGCACCGACTGGACAGGATTCCAGACAGTCGGGTGTTTCTTTGGGATCAGAGGAAGCGGGGGCCCGGGGCTGGGTGAAACCCTAGCGGTCAGAGCGCAGGGCGAGGCGGAAGCGATTAGAGCCAGTGCAGGCGGGTCCCGACTTCAACAATGGATGACTCCAGAGCATCCTTAGAAACTCCGCCGCCCCTGCTGGCCCACCTGCCCACCCGTTCTCAAAACGGGAAGACCCTGACCGTGGGGCAGTTTTGCTCCACTGCACCCCGATAGGAGGTGGACCCTTCTTGGGCACCGCGTGCGCACCAGCCCCTGGGCAGTAACCGCTTCTCACGTGTTGCAGGTGATCCCAGCTTTGATTGATTAGCTCTGCGCCTCCACGAGGCTGGGCCTACTGCCGGTCACCCTCAGCCCACGCTGTCTGCGGACGCAGCTGGTCCCCCATTCCGTCTACACGGAGTCTTGCACCCCCTCACCAGCCATTGCCCAAGACAGACCGGAGAGGGGTGCGGATGGCCCGGCTACCTTGTTTTCAGAACGCACGTCATAGGCTTTGGGGTCAGAAGAGCAGAGTCCAAGTTGTTTTTATGCTATTTACTAGCATTGTACCCCGTGCAAATAATCCAACTTCTCTGACCCCTGGAATCCTCTCGGTTTTTTTCAAATGAGGGTAATAATAATACCTCCCGAGGCTGGGAAGCCTGAGTGATCTAATAGAGGCAAAGCACCCGGAACAGAAGCAACATAACTGTCGCTGAGATGTTGTTTCTTTTCTTCCTTCTCTAGGTTTTCCGGATCACCGCCTCATCTCAGCCTCCATCTAACTCTGAATACAGCGAATATGGGTTAGGTTTCTGAATGCTGCAGGAAAATTCAAATCGTACCACCTGCATCTCAGCTGGGAAGGGCTTACCTTAGCCTGACTCCCCTCTGGCTTAAAGTCCCCATTCGTGATGTCCAGTTCCTGATGCGTAGCAGGCACTGGGGAATGCAATCAGATGAATGAGTGGGTCTGGTGCAGAGAGATGATATATCCTGGGAAAGTCTTACGGGGGTGTCCAGTTATCTTCATAAAAAACATTGTCATTATCAGGGTCACCAAAGCTGACATCATAGTCAGGGGGTGGAGTAAGAGGCTCCAATTTTGGGAGCGACTCCAATATGGGGAGTGTGCCCAAGCTCTGCAGGTCAGGAGCAGTGGATACGACTCGTGGTCCCCGAAGCCGAAGGCTGATTGGAGCTCCTCCAGGGCTTCCTGGGGTCATAGAGCCCTCTGAGCCCCCTCGCCTTTCTGTTCTTGCTCTCCTGGGCCCCTCTGGATGGCCAGGCTGACCCTCTACAAGTCCTGGGGGGATTACAACGCTGCTGTAGGGAGGTGGTTGATCCAACTCTTGGGGGCAACGCTGTGACTCCAACACCACAGCCTCTTCATAGGGTGGCACCTCAAAGGCTTCATTGTCTCTGAGGGAGAAGAAATAAGGTCATCGGTGGCTTACTGAAAGGAGCCCTTTTCTATCTACCAACAAAAGTCCCCTCCATCAGCCCCTGACTCCTCCCCTCACTGATACCAGTCACAGGTGGCAAGGAGAGCCTGTATGTCTGAGAGACTAGAGAGACACAGGGAGAATGGGCACCGTGCAGCGATGTTCAACCAGAGTGCCACGAGGATTGTTTAAAACATGCAATACCTGACTGTTTATTTAGTCAGAGGCACTGACCTCTTTTACCTTAGGTTGTCAAATTTTAAAAAATGACAAAAGCCAACACAATAGCCATCCAGTGTGAATGAATCAAAGTTATACCTATTTTTTTTCCCGTCAGATCAGGAAAAAAATATATCTTTTGGTGTGCCACAGAATTTTAGTAATTAGTGTATGTGTGCTGTGAGATGAAAAAGGTTGAAAATCGCTGGCACAGTCTATTCCTTCCATCCTGCCCACCCCTTGACTCACCGAGCATTGCCTGAGGCCCCTGGGCTCTCCGGCTGCATTGCTGGCTGCACCAATTGGAACACCCATTTCAGAAAACAGGCCAGGAGGCAGGCCAACAAGCAGAAGCCACCCAAGGTCAGAAAGAAAGAAGCAACGGGGACGATATCTGGCCATATGCCCAGCAGAGCCAGCCCCAGGAAGAAGGAGACGCAGCACAGGTAGAGAAGTGGCTTCTCCAGTCTCCCCCACAACTGGCTCGGCACCATGGCCCCACCCCGGGCTCCTGCAAAAGATACACAGCTGTTGTATCTGAACCAGAAACGGGCATGCAACTGGCATCATGGCTGGGTCAGATTCCAAAGTAACTGTATCAGACGACTTTTTGGGGTTTCAGGTACTTCAATCTCAAGTCAAATAAATGGCCAAAATAAGTGATCAGCAGTGTCCTCTCCAGTTCTGTAACTGCAGGGTCACACTGTTGTCCCAGGGTATCAGGGTGTGTGGAATAAGCCAGGAAACCCGCCCAAGAGTTCTGACTCCCAGCCATCAGGCCAATTGACTGTGTCACGGCCCTGCCTGCCTACCTTTTTCCTTCTTCCCTGGGCTCTCCCAGCTCTACCGTTCCACATCAGGATACAGTCCTGGGTGGGCCTTGGAGCCCTGGGGTTCACTGGCATCTCTGGAATCCAGGTGATGGAGCAGGCCCTGCCCTTTCTCTACTATTGCTTGCACTGGATCTCCACCCCCTAGCTTCCCAGTCAGAGGTCCTCAGTAAGGGGGGAGGGAGCACTACTCACCCCACGTCTGACGCCCCCTTCCCATTTCCTCCAGTCAGTCCCTGTAGGTTGGAGGGGGCAAATGCAGACACAACATAGCCGCAGAGCCACAGCTACAGGAGAGAATCTTGCAAAGGCCTGGGGCCAAACTCAGATCTCTAGTTTCCTGCCTGGAGTTAACAGGGCCTGGGAGGTAGGTGGGGAGAACACAGTGGTAGCTGTATCCCAAAGCCAGCCAGTCAGGAGTTCCCTGAACTCTGCACGGCAGGGACTCAGACTCTACAAAGGGGCCAGGACCCCTCCTTACACCCCAGCCCCAATCCCATGACCCTCGCACCACCACTCACCCGCCTTAGGAGTTCCTACCTCACCTGTCTCCACCAGACTCCAGAGAAAGTAGGTTGAGGGGGAAGTGGGAGGCGGGCAGGAGGTGGAGCCCATTGGCCCCACCCTCTTTTCTGTCCCAGTCCCTCAGCTCCCGAGATCTTTGTACTTGGGACCAGAGTTCCGTTGCCCTGTGCTTTTCCCTTCTCAACGTGAGCTGTGCTCAGAGCAGCCTGCCTGATATTTAGGGCATATACACTGTGCCTGGGAGTGGAGGTCACCATTCAGTTCGTTCAGTGTCTGGAGATCACACAGTGCTCTGCAGGCTGCGCGCACTGCTGTGGGCCTGGGATGGTGGGTCTGTTCCCACCGCCACAGCCCCTTTTCTGTGGACGGCTTGTTTCCTGCAGACCTGCAAGACGAGTCTGTGTGTACGCTCCTTGGCACCGTTAACTCTCGATTCTTCAAAAGCCACCTGCGAGGTGATTCCTGCCGTGGAGGCCGTCCCCTCGGTGTAGCCACAGCATTCCTTCCTACCCCTGCCCCCAGCCTTTGCCTGTGCAGGTAGTAATTTTCTGTTTACGCACCTTTCTTCCACTGTGAGCTTCTCCTGGAGAGGGATTCGTTTCAATCATCTCTGAATCCCAGCCACTAACTCCGGTCCTGACACATAGCAGGTGCTCACTAAACATAGTTGAAAGCTTTTATTAGAAGGTGACTAGTTTGCTGGGTCTCACCACACACTGGAGGTCCAGGACCCACTCTTTTCAGTTGTGGGTGAGACAGTAAATCCGGGTGGGGCAGGTGCTGGGAGGTGCAGATGCAGAGTGGCTGGAGGCACACTTTGTCCTTAAGGCTCAGAGAGGGATAGACAAGGCTGGTCGGCATGCCTTCAGAGAGTTACCACTGGACACGTGGAGGGGACAGCTGGTAACGGGGCACATGTCTAATCCCAAGGATAATTGTGGGCCANATAGTTGAAAGCTTTTATTAGAAGGTGACTAGTTTGCTGGGTCTCACCACACACTGGAGGTCCAGGACCCACTCTTTTCAGTTGTGGGTGAGACAGTAAATCCGGGTGGGGCAGGTGCTGGGAGGTGCAGATGCAGAGTGGCTGGAGGCACACTTTGTCCTTAAGGCTCAGAGAGGGATAGACAAGGCTGGTCGGCATGCCTTCAGAGAGTTACCACTGGACACGTGGAGGGGACAGCTGGTAACGGGGCACATGTCTAATCCCAAGGACAATTGTGGGCCACAGCCTGGGCTGTAGCAATAGGCAATGTGAAAGCCTGTGTGTGTGTGTGTGGGGGGGGGGTGCCTGGAGTGGTGTGCCAGGGCGTATAGTGGTGGGATGCCGATGATGCTGAGTCCCTGTCCCAGACTGACAGAGAGGAGAGGGAGGAGATGGACCAGGAAGGCTGCGGTTGTGTAAATGAGGTGCATCTCCATCAGAAGTGGAAATGGAGAGTGAGAGGAGAGCTAGCTGGTGGTTATTTCCTTTCCACCAATTTCCTTCCTATTCAGCTTATATGGGAAAAGTGTGGCTGGGATCAGAAGAATTTCAGCCTGCAGTTCACCTAATAATAGAAGGAAACTGGCCAGCAGTTGTGGGTACGTATAATGAGTGTAGACGTAAGAATGTCTAAACCTGTAGAGAATTTTTACGAGTTTATTTGAGCCAAAACCGAAGACAGTTGCTGGAAAGCAAGACCTAAAATGCTCTGGATGACGGTTTTGCAGTTTCTTTTATGCATCTGAAATTAAGAGGGAACGTAAGGAAGAGTACGCGATGGTGGGAGAAAGCAAGGCGGGCAGGGATGGCATTGCAGGTTACGTCAGTTTATGCGCTTCTCGGGGGTGGTTATGTCTTCAAGGGGCATTACTTCTGGTATCTCAAAGGCGTGTTTAACCTAGATGCACCGAGGGCTGGCTTCAAACCTTTCACTAAAGCAGTTACAGGCCTGGGGCGTGACTGCCCACTGTGATCTGCCCAGTTAGGAATTTATGATCAGATGCCCCTGGGAGGTTATTTCCCATAGAATCCCCTTTTCATTTACAACATCTTGCAACATGTAGCTTTCCCTCCTTTTTTAATTATTTCCTCTTTTCTTTATCAATTCAGTATCCTTAGCAAAATATGAATGCACCACTTAATCTGATTGCCAGCCCATCTTCTACTTGCCTACCTTCCAGAGACCGCCTTGGTGGAGGCTCGTTCACCCCTTCCTGCTGTGCCCCCCTCATCTGTGGGGGTGTTGGGGAAGGGAAGTGGGAGGACAGGGGAATGGAGAAGTGGAGATAATTGACAGACCTCCAGTGGAGGGTAACGGAGGTCTACCACCGAGTGTCTCTCTAAGACCTTATATTTCTGTGGTTTTGTGTTTCTGAACATGGGTCTACTTTATACGTGCAGCCAACACATGTGCAGTATTTTGTGTGTGCTGTTCACTGTGCTAAATTCACAAATTAAGTAACTCAAAATATGTGTAATGTAATAAGAGGTATTGCTATTATGTCTATTTTATGGGTGAGGTCAGAAAGTCGAGGGAAATGCATAGCTAATTAAGGTGGGGTCAAGAAACCACAGTCCCAGTCCAGAACCCCGGCTCTTAACGGCTCTAAACACTTTGGCTGCTCTTGTAATGATGATTTAACAAAACACCTGTGATATTCTAAGATCCTTATTCTGGTCTTCTCTGGAGAAGGGGTTCGATGCTATTTCCCCATTGTTTGGAGTCTTTTATATATATATGTTTTTTTTTATTGATTTCAGAGAGAGGAAGGGAGAGGGAGAGAGAGAGAGAAACATCAATGATGAAACAGTCATTGATCGATTGCCTCCTGCACACCCTACTGGGGATTGAGCTCACAGCTGGGGCATGTGTCCTGATCAGGAATCGAACTCTGATCTCCTGGTTCACAGGTCAACACTCAACCACTGAGCCACACAGGCCAGGCTTTTTGGAGTCTTAATAAAAGGCTGATCTTCAGACAGCAAAGGTAGCAAAAGAGAATATCAGAAAATGAAATAAGGTTATTGACCTATAAGGCAAGATTGGGAAATTAAGATCGCAGGGTCTGTATCAAGACACTTATCATTTATGAGCTCATTAAGACTGATTGTAAAAGCTAACACTTCTAACTGAATGGCTCTGAAAGCGCAACGTGCAGGTGACTTCTTCTAAAAGAGAATTGGTGGTAATATATGTGTGTGAAGAAACAGCTTGGCCCGTACCGGTGATCTCATTTGATCCTGAGTAACAATCGTGTGGGGTCAGTCTGATGATCATTTTCATGCTCTGAGAAAGTACATGATTTGTTTAGTTAGAATCAAATGCAGAATTTTGACCTCTTAACTCAGTTGAGAGTTTTTCTCCGTTAGTTGCTTACAGCTCCTCCAAATGTGTAGGGAAGGTGGGTAAATGATTTAACACAAAGTAGGCCAGAACATCGATATTACTGGATGGAAACACTTCCGAAGAATCATAAATCCTCAAGTATGTCAGGATAAGTACACTTCATCACCCTCACCAACTAGTCATATTGTACAAAGTTCTCACGAGCTGAGTGGAAAACGGGGTTCAGGCTGTCACTCCCAGTCAGATATTCAGCACTAAGCCACAAAAAGTGAGTCTGGAATTTGGGAAATCGAGTGTGGTTATTACCAAGTGACAAAAATGCATCGTGTTTATTAGAAATGCCTGATATGTTATGGTATATTATAAATGTCAGATAGTGGTAACAGGTTCCCACATGAACATGTCCCTAAATATGAGAGAACAGGGAGGCATTGTGATTGTGCTCAGTCGCATACTTTTTGGAGAGGGCCAAACCAGGACGCAGATCTCAGTTCTATTATCTATCAAACTTGGATTCCATATATGCTTTTTTAGCATTTAAAATATGTTAATGAGAACACTTTCACACCATCTTTAAATAAAAATGACTTGTACTTTTTGATCTGATAGGCTCTGGCGTTAGGACCTACTCGCTTCCTGGTGGACAGGGCTGAGATGCCAGCGCGCTCAGTGCTCTGGAGGGAGGGGGGAGCCGGGCCCTCCTCCCCTGGAAGTCCTGCAGCCACCTCAGGGTCTTCTTTCCTATCAAATGTTTAATCACTTTCAATTTTGCATTCACTGAATGGGTACTCTTGTGAACTTGAGTATATGCATTTTCCAACCCAAGCATATGTACTGTATCTTCCCCCCAATATGGGCATCTGTTTGTATTTTATTGTGGCAACAGTGTGCAGTTTATGGGGGTGCTGCGGATCCCCACCGTACTTTTCATGATCTGCAGGTGAGGGCTGGAACATGTTATGTAGAATTCTCGACAGTAAATTTGTG